ACGCGACCGGCACCGTCACAGCTTCCAGTTGTGCCACGATCTCTCCCGCCGTCGTCAAAAGGGGTGCATCATGTGGGAGCGGTGGCGCACGGACTGACTGCAGCGGCCATTGGGGCCATGATTAACCTCTTGAGCCGTATATGAGAGGGCGACCAGGCGAGGGGTCCGACATGGGACCGCGGGCTCGGTGCCGCACCGCGTCTGGATCCGCGAAGTTCATGCATTGCTCAACGCGCATCCTGGGCGCGTGACTACAGACGGGCAAGATGCGGCGTTACAAAGTGGTCTAGAAGGTCCAGCACGCGCGCTAGCCGCGCGGCCCCCGCCGGCGGTCGCCAACTTCGGCGCCGAGGTGAACGGTGTCCGCGCGGACCCCCTACCTCCTGCACTGCGCGGCCCCGAGGCTCGAGTGCCTCGAGGACGAACGACAACGACAACAAGGAAAGCGCGCCAGTGGATCTCCCTGAATGGGATTTTCGACACCCCCCTCCCCCTCCCCCTCCCCCCCTCAAAGGGAAGGGGGGGGTCCGAACTCCCCACTCCCTCCCCCCCCCCTCCCTCTTTTGCGTTGGAAAGGGGGGGCGGGGTTCGGACCACCCCCCCCCTCCCCCCCTTTGCGCCGGAAAGGGAGCCGGGGAGGGGGGGCCTCTCTCGCTTGTCCTTTCTGCGCCGGAGAAGATGTGTAGGGAATACGGAGTTGGGAGTAGGGAGTGGTGAGTAGAGAGTAGTGAGTTAATGCGTCGTGAGTAGTGAATATTGGGTAGTGAGTAGTGGGTAGTGAGTAGGGAGTAGGGAGTAGGGAGGGGGGAGTAGTGAGTAGTGAATAGTGAGTAGCGTGTACTGATAAGTGAGTAGTGAGTGGCGAGTAGCGAGTAGTGAGTAGTGAGTAGCGAGTAGCGAGTAGTGAGTACTGAGTAGGGAGTAGGGAGTAATGAGTAGTGGGTAGTGAGTAGTGGGTACTGAGTAGTGGGTGGCGAGTAGTGATTTGTGAGTAGTCAGTACTGCGTATTGCGTAGTGCGTAGTGAGCAGTGAGTAGTGAGTAGTGAGTAGTGATTAGTGAGTAGTGAGTAGAAGTAGCGAGTAGTGAGTAGTTAGTAGTGAGTAATGAGTAGTGGGTACTGAGTAGTACATAGTGCGTAGTGAGTGGTGAGTAGTGACATGATGAATAGAGAGTAGTGGGTAGTGGCAGTGGGTAGTGAGTAGTGAGTACTGCGTAGTGCGTAGTGCGTAGTGAGCAGTGAGTAGTGAGTATTGAGTAGTGAGTGTTGAGTAGTGAGTAGTGAGTAGAGAGTAGCGAGTAGTGAGTAGTGAGTAGTGAGTACTGAGTAGTACATAGTGCGTGGTGAGTAGTGAGTCGTGAGTAGTGATGAATAGAGAGTACTGGGTAGTGGCAGTGGGTAGTGAGTAGTGAGTAGCGAGGAGCGAGTAGTGAGCAGTGAGGAAAGAGTACTGAGTAGTGAGGAAAGAGTAGGGCGTAGTAATTAGTGAGTAGTGAGTAGAGAGTAGGCAGTAGTGAGTAGTGGGTAGTGATTAGTGAGTAGCGAGTAGGGAGTAGCGAATAGTGAGTAGGGAATAGGGAGTAGGGAGTAGGGAGTAGTTCGCAGTGAGTACTAAGAAGTGGGTAGCGAATAGTGGGTAGTGAGTAGCGATTAGTGAGTAGTGGGTAGTGAGTAGTGACTAGTGCCTAGCGACTTCTGACTAGTCACTAGAGATTATGTAGTGACTTGTGATTAGTGAGTAGTGAGTATTTGAGTAGTGAATAGTGAGTAGTGAGTAGCGCGGAGTAAGTAGTGAGTATTGAGTAGCGAGTATGGGAGTAGCGAGTAATGAATACTGAGTACTGTGTAGTCAATATTGTGTAGGGAGTAGGGAGTAGCAAGTAGTGGGCAGTGAGTAGTGATTTGTGGGCAATGAGTAGTGAGTAGTGGATAGTGGGTAGTGGGTAATGAGTAGTGATTAGTGAGTACTGAGTAGGGAGTAGTGAGTAGTGCTTAGTGAGTAGTGAGTGTTGAGTAGTGGGTAGTGAGGAGTGAGTAGGGAGTAGTGAGTAGGGAGGAGGGAGTGGTGAGCAGGGAATAGTGGGTAGCGAGTAGTGGGTGGCGGGTAGGGAGTAGGGAGTAGTGAGTAGTGAGTCGTGAGTAGTGAGTAGGGTGTAGTGAGAAGTGAGTAGCGAATAGCGAGTAGTCAGTAGTGGGTAGTGGGTAATGAGTAGTGAGTACTCTTTGGGCCTGGGGTTAGTGGTTGGGGTTGGGGTTAGGGGTTTGGGTTAGGGTGAGGACTAGGGGTAGGGGTGGCGGGGTCGGGTTCCGGAGTCAGGGGGCGGCGTGGCGAAAGGGGGGGGGGGGGCGGCCAAAGGGGGTGAGGGGGGGGGGGTCGGACCCCCGCCCCCCCCTTTTGAAAGGGGCGGAGGGGGGGGGGTCCCGACGACGGACCAGGAAATGGGGGGGGGAGGTTCCCCGACGACGGATCGGGGAAGGGAGGGAGGGGGGGTCCCCGACAACGGATCGAGGAAAGGGGGGGAGGGTCCACCTCCCCCCCCTGGGGGTCATCCAGCGGCGCACCCTCGACAAAAAGGCTTCGAACGCGTGGACTCCGGAGCGCAGCCCAACGAACGCATTGGCAGCGCCATGCCCCGGTGGGAGATAGCTCGCACGGATGCAGACACCGCAGGCTTCGGCCTGGATAACTTCCAGTCGCTGCCAACCACATGAGCGCGGGCACGACGGACGCTGCCAGGCGAAGCGGCGCGACAATTGCAGCCACCCAACGGCATTATCCTTCCAACCCAACAGCAACGCAACGATTTTCTTGCAGCGCCGCGACGTCGGAGGCACCTATCGGAGAGGATGGCTGGCAATATCGCCCAGCTGATGAGCGGGCGCGCCAGGGTCGACGCCCGCGTCGCGGACGCCGTCTCGGCCCGTGACCCCCAACTGCCCGGCGGAGACCAAGCATGAACACCAGCGCTTGGCTCCTGGATTACGCCGCCGGCCACGGCGCCCAAGGAGACTCGACCGCCTGGGCCCTGCCGACTCCACCAACGGCCCCCACAACAGCGACAGCAGGCGCCACGGGGCAAGCCCGCGGAGGAGGGCGACAGCGGTTCGGACACGGAGGCGACGCCAACTACACATAGGAGAACTTGGCGGATATGCCCGAGGACCTGCGCGCTCAAGAAATCAAACATGCTAGAACGGCCAGCGGAGACCCAACGCGCGCAAACCAGTTCCCCGCGCCCGACGCTTCACGAACACTCACGGGAAAAGGCACGATAACCGAGGCGGGCGCAGGAGACTCGCCAGGAAAGGTATCCAGGTCTACGTCACTGCGCTATCCGACGAGGCCCGCGAGGAGCTTCCCTCTGGTGGCCGCGAAAAAAGAGGAGAGGAGAAGGTGCCCGCAGCATAGGCAATGACGGACAAGTGAAAGTTTGTTACACAAAAAACTGCGGATTGACCAGCACCTCAGCCGAGAGCGCCAGAATCCACCAGGACAAACTACCGCTACATCGGACGCATTAGTCACGGGCATTGTCGAATACCCGGGCCTATGCATGGTAGTTCTACCAACTTGAAAATTCATGTGGCGTTTGTGTTTGGGAAGTTCGTAATAGTTCAAACAATTCGAGTTGGTTTTGTTTAGTGCTGTCGTTCATTGTCTCAGTTTCACATGTTGTTATATATCTCAGTCTTTGTTTTTCTCTATACTATTGTGAATCTAATTCGCTTCTGTTCCCGATTATGACCTGCTGAAGAATATCTCGGTTGAGCGTTGCATGTTGTCATGGACGATCGCAAGCTGTAGTCCAAATGCACCATAAACAACTGGCTCGCGGGCGCGCGACCGAACGGCAACGGCCCCGACAATGACGACTTTCAACGGCCCGTGAAAATGCGATCCGAGGCAGACGATCCCGAGTGCGAGGAACTGGTGCCATGCACCCCATGCATGGCGGCGCCAAACTAGCTGGCCGCTGCGCACGCGCGCGCTAGGGTTGGCGCGACGTTTGTGTCTGTTGATTTGCGTGTCCCCAAGGCCCCTTCACAGACATGTTTCTAGCTGCCGCAGCGGCAACGAGCAAGATTCCGCCACCCGGCATGCGTTGCGGCAGCCTGTGAGGGCCCGGCAACCGGTGTTGTTGGCAAGCCCGGTGCCGGCAAGCTTTGTTGTTGCCTTTGCTTGTTCTTTTCTCCTTCCTCCTGCTTTCCTCCCTCCTCCCCCCTCCCTCTTCCTTCCTCCCTCCCTACCCGAGCACCCAAGGACCCTGGAGACGGGATCCCGATAGGCGATCGACATTTCATCCGTGCCCCTTGGCTCGCGCCCCGACCCCACGAAGAGCCAGAGCGGGGATATGGATACGTTCGTGGCCTTCTAGGCCACGTTTTGTTGTCCATGCCCTGCTTCCCCTGGCGCCTAGGGTAGGGGGCAGCAGCAGGGGTATGGATCGAGCGTCGATCGTCGACACGAGAGTCGAAAAATCAAATTCAGCACCCGCATAAACGTTCGAATGTCCGAGCAGTTTTCTCGGGCCCAGCGTCGATCCCAGAAATCCGCGCGGAGTTCCGAAAGTGTATGTTGTGCCCATTTTTGTTCCTTTAGAGGTCCCGAGAGGCCGGTGAACGATCAAGGAGCGTTCCTAGGAAGCGGGGCTCCAGAAGTAGTGTGCAAGTCCCCGGGCCTCTCACACGCGGCCAGAGTGAATGGTATCGGGGGATCGCGCCGCATCGCCGATGCATTGGCGACGCGGCGCGATCCGGAGTCGGATGTCCTCCGTCCTGACGTCGCCAGTATATCGGCGATGCGGTGTTTGTGCATACGACGGGCCAGGAAGGCGCCTTTGGCTTCCCTGGTGAACGTTGGGAGAGCGATTCTTCCATTCTTTTCTTTCCCCCAAGGGAACCAACGAAGGGTGTTTCGGCTTGGGAGTCCGACCCCTGCTTGTTTCGGCACCCCCGTGAGCTCCGATCCGCCAGCAATACGTGAGCCTGGTTCCCGCGAGGTCAACGAGGTGCTTAAGAAGAACAGCGGGAGGGGCCCTTGGCCAGTGTTCTTCCAGCGCGGTCGCTTGTACAAGAACCCGCACGTGAACCCGACGCCAGGCAGCTTTTGGGAGCGCACCGAGCTTCCAGCTAACGGATATTACATCTTATGGAGATAACACTAGCTAGCTAGGGTTGGCTGGAGGCGATTGGCCAGAAGGATTTGCCAAAGACTTACCTTGAGAAATGGCCCAGGGGGGGGGCAGGGTCTAGATCTTTCCGTCACATAGAGTCGGTATGCACGTCGTCGGGGTGAGTCGTCGCGCTTCGGATGGAAGTTGTGCGCTTCAGGATTCCAGCTGAAGGCTCAGGCAGTCTTGGAAGTCGTTCCAGTCGGCGCCAGGCGCAAAAGCTCAGGACGGCGAAATTCAATGAGAATTGATGCCCAAAGGCGGACTGGCGCCAGCGTCCAGAAGCTGTGCTTTTCAATCGTGCACCCTGCCTCCATTGCGAGCGGACGCATCCTTTGGTGGGTTGGCAATCCAGTAGCACAGGGAGTATACGGGGGAGCTTGCCCAACAGCAGTTGGAGATCAATGAGAGCCTTGGCACAGCGGCAGTGACGCTACGACTGGCTTCCCCATGACTCGAGTTGTGAAAGGGCCAGGTGACCGCCCGACCGCGCCGACGGAAGCCCAAACCAACCTTTCTGATCCGCCTCCCCCACTCCTTGCTGCTCGTGGCCCCGCAAGTGGGGGGACTCACTGCGGGAGCACGCGACCCGCCAGAGGAGCTGGCCTCCCCCCGGGCCCTTTTTGATCCGGTCTGCGTCCTGATTGCCCCTGCACTCGACGGCAGCCGATCGCAAGGAAGCGGCGATGCTGCCGGAGGGCTCCGGCTCCAGGCCTCCCACACGGGGTCCAAGTGGACTGTGTCGGAGGATCGCGCCGCATCGCCGATGCATCGATGACGATGCCGATTTTCTGCACGCCGGCGGCGCCGATGTACCGGCGGTGCGGCGCGATCCTGCGACCGCATCTGCTTTGGACCCCAATGAGGGAGGCTGTCGCCGGCTCCCCGCCCGGGCTGGGCGCCAGAAGGCCCTCTCGGGGCGCGCCGCGGGAGGCTCGGGCCACGGCCACGCAAGGAACCGCCCGAGGAGCGCGCCCGCGCGGAGGTCCGGGCCCCCCAGATGAGCCATGTGGAGAAACGGCGCCGTCTGCGAGGACAGAATCGGGTCCATGGCCAGGACCCCGGGTAAGGGGACCCGGTTAGTGGTGGGGCCCTGGAGCCTTCGAAGTGGCCAGAATCACTAAACCAGGTTTGCCATAGCTGGTGTTTTTTCGGGTGACGGCAGTTCCGGTTAGTGGAAATGGGACGGGGGGGGCGCCCCTGGTACAGATCACTAAGCCAGGTTCCACTCGACCCAGTTCTACCAACGCCCGACATGAGCGCGCAAGTCGCCTCCGCAGGGTCGCGCGTGAGCGCCGCCCTCGTTGCCGGGTGTTGCGTGCCCCGCTGGCGGCCCCACGTAACCACCGCGTCAGGTCTCCATGCCGTCTCGCGTACGGCCCGCTGCTTTCACGCACGGATGGGGTCGGAAGGTAGACCCGCAGCGCCGATGCGCCGACGAAGCGGCATGATTTGGAGCCCGATGCTCTCCATCTCGACGTCGCCGATGCATCGGCGATCCCCCGGCCCCATCAGCATGATACCAAACCACATGATTATCTCCATCCCGACGTCGCCGAAGCGTCGGCGGTGTATCGGCGATCCTCCGACCAGTCCCATGTGCTAGGTCGCCCCCAGGGGCGCGAAGGCAGCCGCGCTTCGCGCGTCGCGGCCTCGACCACAGCGCGCTCCTTCTCGACGCGCACAGCCGCGCGTCACGTGGCGCGATGCGGGAGGTTAGACGACTTTCTGCTTGGAATGCTTGGAAGGCACAGCCTACCTGCTGCTGGAAGACCAATACCTAGGGCCTATGCGAAAAACCGCTGCCACGTTTTAGCCACAAACGTCTGTAGACACATTGGGTGTCCTCACATAACCTTTGCAAACAATTGTCGCGCCCCGCCCCTCATCGAAATTATACCATTGTCTGCCCCTGGAAGTGATATTCCCGCCCCCAGAACATTCACCACGGGATCCCACCAAGATCATGTTGGGATCCCAACGGGATTGCAAGAGGTTCCTTCCAGGATTGCGGCAGGATTCCCGAGGAGTGAGGAGATTCCTGAAGATTCCTGAACGATTTCTAGCAGTTTCGTGCAGGAATCCTGAACGGTTCGCGAAGATCCCTGATGGTTCTTGAAGATGTTTGGAGGAGTCGCGAAGGATTCCTTGAGGATTCCTGAAGGATTCTGGAGATATTCCCGAAGGATGCCCGAAACATTGCTCGGTGTCTTGAAGATGCCTGGCGCTAGTCAGCTATAATGTTTCAGCCGGGTCCCGAGAGAATTTGCATTAATCCGTAGGAATGTTGGCACTGTTCTCTCCGCCAGGTTTCTGAGACTGCCCCATATGGATGGAGAGCTTCACATCATCGGGCAAAAGGGTAATGTCAGGCATCCTGGCGAATCCATTAAGTGTTTGCGTGAACCCAGGAACCATATAGGGACTGCAGGAGTCCTCCAGAAATCCGGGGAAACTCTTGGGAGTCACGGGGGAATCTCAGTGGAATCTTCAGGGAATCCGGGGAATTGTTGGAATATGCAGGAATTGCTTTGAAGTGTTCCCTTCCCCTCTCCCCCCCTTCTTCCGCTCCGGGCGCCGTTTCGGTTCCAGGGGGTTTCAGCAGACGTGTCCTTGGACACAAGCTTTCAAACATCCCAGCCTTCAGACATACAGTCAGGCTGCCGCGCCAGGCGCTCCCCCTCGTGAGCGTCGTTGTTGTGGGCTTCAGCTTCGCCCTGACGTTGAAGCCCGACCTTTCATGAAAGACCTTCAAGGCGTTTGAGACCCGGAGTTGTCAGCATCACGGGAACGCTTTGAGAAGACGGAGGACATGAGGCGGCTGGGAAACACCATCGCCGCTCGTTCGAGCCGCAGAGTTTGTGACATCACGGCGATTGAGACGATCAGAAAGCGCCTTGCGTTTCTCGAGAGATAGGTCCACGAGAAGGATGAGGGTTACTCAGCCTGCGCCTGCAAGGTGCTGATAGATCGGCTTATTGGCCCGATCGTTCCGCGTGAGGCATCAGAGAAGGAAAAGGCACCGATGCCGTTGCCTTCTGATCGTTCCCACGGCCGGGTTCGCCCCGTAATCTTCATCGTAACGCGCCCCAGGAGACCGCCAAGGAACAGCGGCATCGGCAATTTTCCTTGGTCGCTCAAGGCGTAGCCCATCGCCGTCTTCACCGCTGGTCAACGCGATCCTGTCTTCAGCTGAAGCCAGGGCTGAGATCCTCGATCAAAACGAAACCACGCTCCACTGGCAGGCCGCGGCCACGCGGGGTCAGCAACGCCAGGCCACAGGCGCCTTCCTGTTGTCAAGCGTGATGTCAGCCAGCCCACCCGCGACGAGCAGGTTGAGTTCGCGGGCTTCACCTTGTTTTGCCAAGGCCCGATGCCCCTGGCTGGCGCCGCTGAGGCACTCGAGGCGCTCAGACCCCCCAGCGCGCACGCGTGCGCGCGCACGCACGCGCACTTTTACGTCTGCGGCGCAGAGGGACCTCAAGTGCGGGCAGCAGATGGAAGTGCTAGTTGCGATCCAGCGTTGTCGAAGGCAGCGCGCGAGACGTCGCACACTGTAGCGTGCAAGCAATGGGCGCCGTGCTAGAGGGATTGCGCACCCAAAAAGTAGACATGCAGCGGCCAGGAAATTGATGAGGACGCACACGCACACGCACTCGCGCATACGCACGCACGCGTCCTCACGCACACGCCTGCTCCTGCCATCAGGTTCCGCTTCAGAACGCTACTCAACCTGGCAATACATGCGCGGCCCTCTCCAGGCAGCAAAACACAACGGGCTCGGTCAGTAAAGGGCCCACTAAAGTTCTCATGCCAACATGGAGAGTACTCTACCATGGACGATGCAGAAGCTCAGCTGCGCCCATGGACGCGCGCGCGGCGCTCGCGCGACAACGTGTAGAACATGAATTTATTTTTCGGAAGTGCACGATGGAACAATTTCGTCACTCGCGTTCTTGGCTTCAACATGATACGAACGACTGCGAGAACATACGACGTTTCGCATCGCTCGCGCGCATTCGCGCGCACCTTGCGGGAACCATCAGGAATGGCAAATGTTGAATTTTCCACTCGCGCCTTAGGCCTCGACGCAGCACTGCGCAACGTCAGACTGCCCGCGCGTCGCCTTGCGCGCGCGCTCTCGATTGCGCGCTTACAAAATCAATCGCGGACGGCCTCCTGATCTCGGAAAGCTGACCGGCGAAAACAAATCTGTCGCATTCGTATTGTTTTTGAGGATTGGGAGGGCGGCGATGTGACACGACGCGTCGCGTCGCGACGCGCTGTCTTTATTGTTCGCGCGCGAGCGAGCAATAATGAAAACGCGTGGCTTCAGCGCAGTCTTCCATATCGAGGCCTTCAGAATTATGAGTGGAAGTATGGGTTCGCCATTCCGTGTTCGAAGCAAAGTTGGCCGAGCCCCCCCGCTGACGTTCGCATTGCGCGCGCGGTTGGTAATGAAAGCGCACAGTGACGCAACGCAACGTTTCACGTTGGGGCATCCCAGATACGATTCAAGCAACTGGTCTCCACCATTCATGTTCAAAGTAAAAATGGCAAAAAAAAAAAAAACGTGGGCTTCCGCGTTGGAGGGCGCAGAGCACATGTGAATCATTCGGTTTCCATCAGTCAGCTTTCAAAGTTAAGGTGGCCTTTCTTTCATTGTTTTCGCATCGCGCATGCGAGAGTGCGCGCGCGCACACGCGCGCACAATAAGAAGCGGGCCCTGCGTTTATATATATGTAGGTATATACACATATCACGTCATGGTGAGGTCCTCAGAATACTATAGCCTGTAGTGGGACACGTGGCTTTCATGATTCAGCTCCACAACTATATTAGCAACTCACCAATGACACTTGCATTTTGCGCGCGGTAAGGGCGACAAAAACATTATTCTTTGATATGGTAATCTACTCGTGTTAGTAC